GTTATTCTCATCTTCTACAAGTGGACAGCTTACGATGCTCACACATCCAAGGAAGCACCGAGCCTCTTGATACACTTTATCAACATGTTTYTGTTCTCCTATGAGGACACCAGTAATAAAATGCTTTATAGTGGGCAGGTGCGTGCTCTTGCTAGAACAGAAGCAGAGATACTTGGTGATATTGGAGTGTTTCATTGACCTTGTCATAACTGTGAAATGCAGCATGAAACATTTTTCCTCTGTGACAAAGCATATCTGAAGGCTGATACTATGTAATGTTGAAGAAGGAAGGAATCCCTAGAAGAAGAATTTTAATCTGTTTGACCATAAGTCAGCTATGGCTTCAGAACACGTGGATCCTGATTAATAGCAGAAAGCAATTAGGCATATTGTCCCATGCCTGCAATGTGTACCTCTCAGCTTAGCTCAGACACCAGCACTGTTTCCTTCCAGCAGTATCAGACATGTGCCAAATTCTCATTCCCTTCAGGGTCTTTTGGATTTTTCCCTCATCTAAYCCAGTCTCAGCATTAAATGCTATGCTCAGTCAGAGGTGGCAGCTGCAGGCATTAAGTATTGCTGTTCCCAAAAGAGAGGTAGTGAAGCATCCACACACTGGGAATTCAGCCATTCTTGCTGGGTTCTGTGTGTGTTTGAGCAGGGGCTGCAGCTGAATTACCTGAGACCTGTTTCTTTTGCAGAAAGGGCTCCAGTGTTTCCTSGTGGTGGTGGCGTTGTTGTGTGTGCCGTGGATGCTGGTGGCCAAACCCCTGGTSCTTCGCCAGCAGTATTTAAGGAGAAAACACTTGGTGGGTGACTCCCTTTTATATTTTACATATGAAAAMTATTTTTGGTTGAAAAGCTGTGTTCTCCATCCTGAGCTTGGATTAGTTCATGCTACATTGAGACCTGTAAAGTGTTTTTACATGTTCCTGGGTATACCAGCAGGTGGGTGTTACTGGAGACAAGAGTGTTGCCTGCCTGCTTCCCAGACCTGGATCCAGCATCAAACCTGCTTTTAAAAACCCCTTATGTTGGTAATGATCAGAACAGTGTCTCTGGCTTGGGCTTTGGTTTAGGAACAGTCTYACTGGCTGCTGGATGCACTTCTGTGGCTGGGCTAGGCTGGCAGTGGGAAAAAGAGATGGAATTGGCTGGCAGGCTTCTCAGCTATCTTTGTTWAAGCAGCTTGGATGGTAAAAAAAWAACAATTAAAAGGAAAAAGAGACTTACAGACTCATGTGAGAGGTTGTCTGCTGGGGTGCTCTGTAGGTTTCCAGCTGCATTGTACAGTACCTGTGTGTGTGAGATGCAGGAACGTGGCACGTGTGCACTGCGAGGATGTGCAGCGAGTCCAAGATCAGCTCAGTTACAGACACTCCCTCTCCCTTCTCTGACCATCTTCCATCCTCCCATGCCCCCTCCATTCGTCTCCCTTTCTCTTTTTGTTTCCTTCCTCCTCCCTCTCTCTTCTTCCATCCACCCCCAGGAGGGGCAGCCCGAGGAGGCCCAGGGCAGCACGAACGCGCAGGCGCTCGAGGCAGCAGCGGCTGCAACAGTGAGTGCACTTCAACCTCGCCTGATGCATTACAGATGGGAGTTGGCTTCGTGTCTCATTATCGAGGGAGCATGGAATGTATCTGAATTTCATAAGGGAATGGCAAGCACACCTTTAGGGTGAAAAACACTTTCTCTTGGAAAGAGCAAAGTTTAGCCAAATTGATACATTCTGGATGAACACCCAGGCTGGAGGATGGTAGTTATGTGTGCACAGAGACAYTTCCTTGCAGGAGTGCTGCTGAATCCAACCAGCACAGGATTTCCTGCTATCACATCCCCCCCTGTTAAATTCCCTTTTTTTCTTTTGCTTGTGCATTTCTTCAAGATAGATTAGGATTCTTCTCAGTGCAGCATTTCTGTTTGCATTACGTGTTCCCAAACAAACAGTGATGTGATGGCCTCGAGCAACTCCATGTCAGTAATCATTGGATTTGTGACACATCTGTCCTGTACAYACTTTGACCTGAAATTATTATAAAATGGTTGTGCACAAACAAGCTTTTCAGTAGCAGTTTTGASTTACATGTTTCTTAGCCTACAGATGGCCCTTTTCTTCCAGAGCTTTCTGGTGAGATTGTGGCAACCCCCAGAACTTAGTCCTTTCCCCACTGCTGCCTCTTTCAGCTCGATTTTATTTCTGAATCTGTCTGGCTGACTAGGAAGTGTGAATCTCACTGGCCTTATGAAGCACATCATGCTGTCCAGGTGCCAAAGATGCTGGGAGGGACAGATCAGCTGGTTCTCTCATGACATTTTCGTCTCCTCACGGAAATGTCGGAWATTAAAATGGATCTTTTGTGCGTGATCCATCCAGTGTGTGAAATGTGTCTCCATTGGGAAGCTGAGAGGGGAGGTCTTGTGTGAAGTGTGCTTAGAAGGATCAAGTAAACAATTGGAGCTGTTGAAGCCATGTTTAGGTTGGCTGATTTACAGGAATGGATATGAGGCGAGTGCGAGGGAAAAGCTGCTCAAGTGCTAGTTCACACAGGCTAGAAATRCATAAACAGAATATTGACAGGAGTCATCAGTGACTTGTGCTTCAGAGATACTAATATCCTAATAAAAGCATTGTTTTGGTTGTAAATATGGAGGGTTTTTAAATTTTATTTCTGTTTTCAGAGCATAAACACCTACCTAATTTGTTTTTAGAAACCTGACTAAATCTTTAATTCGTAGATGGTGTTTTGGGCAAATTTATAGTTCAGCCTAAAATAAAAGCAGGCTTCTAAGGACRAAGGAGGTAGAAGAACTCAGAGCAGCTGAGTCTGTGCAAGCACCAGGTCACGGGACCTTCAGCCTCCTTCRTCTGCATGGGCATCCCTGGATTTGTGCAGTCTGGATGTGACAAGTCAGCCTGGTCAGTCCTGTGTCACAGGTGACCCAAGACATTGCTGTAGCTGGACACACAGTTTATTTCTCTTTGTGGTGTTGTAGGTTGCCTCCCTAGGGGTCAGACTCAGGGGCCAGGTGAGAACTGCTCCCAATTTCAGCACTTCAGCTCAGTCTGCATGTTGTTCTTTTCCTTTTGGAGGTGCAGCTGAGGGTCTGAATGTCAGAACAAACGTCTGAAAGGACCTGTTAGCACAACGTAGAGTTTCCAAGCAGGGGGAGATTTGGTGCGGTGTTGGTGTGCCTGAGGCTGGTGGGAACAAACGTGTGTGTGTTTGTGTTCTGCTCCATGACCTGCTCMAGTCCCCAGCAGTGCTGTGTCAGTGCTGGGCAGGACATGGGGCTGTTGCACATCAGAGCCAGCAAATGTCCTCGGAGAGATGTGCCTTTCTGTCCTCGTGGTTGCAGTTACCCTGTAGAAATGTGCCAAGGATTCACTCAGACAGACTTTTTTTTTTTTTCCCCCAGCCGGAATCAGCACCTTTCCCATCCAAGCTGGGAAATAGAATTCTACCTGCCTTAATCTGGGCCTTAATATTTAATATTTTGTTTTCCTCTGTGAGCTGCTGCTGCACATGGAGTGATGAGAAACCTGCACTTTTGCACTAAAACCCAAACAACACTTTGCTCTTTCTTTTCTGCATGTGTCAGGGCACGCACAACTTTGGTGGGATCCGGGTGGGCAATGGCCCAACGGAGGAGGATGCTGAGATCATTCAACATGACCAGTTATCTACCCATTCTGAGGAGGGGGAAGAGGTAAGCACCTGAGCATCCTCGCTCTCAGGGCACTGCACTCRGCAGCAGGATGAGCTCGCTGGGACTGTAGTTTCTCATTTCCATGCTGTTCAAACAGCAACATTCCCAGTGAAGTGTTTTCCTAGCAGTTTTTTCACTGAACTGTCTCTTGATCACTCCCAGGAGTCCAGAAAAAGCAGTGTAATTTGCATATCCTGGCAGATGTGGCTCTGTTTGTCCCCAAAGAGCCACCATCCCAGGGGTGCACAGCCACACGTTACCTGCTTCTCCCRTGCCAGGGGAAATTCAGGGGCTGTATTTCTGCAGCGCTGAAATTTTGCTTATATCTTCATTTTGACTACTGGGGTTAACGTTAATTACTTCCCTTTCCTCTGGGAGAGGAGAAAAACAGTCGATCTCACGTAGTTTGGGAGTTTTCTGATGCCTCTGAAGGACTGCAGCAGATCCTGCCTCTGTAGTGCATGGGATGTGTTACTGCTTTCCGTGGYGTGCGTGGAGGGAATTGCTGAATGTGTTCATGATTAATGTGATCAAAACACTGCACTAAATGTAAATTTATGTTTTCAAGCCTACAGAGGACGAGGTGGTAAGAGCACAGCAGCTTTGCCTTCATGTGTACCTGGGCCATTTCCCATCGGTGTAAAACGTGCTGAATTGAACATGTTATGTCACGGCATCTCGTTTTCCAAAAGATCTTGCTGTTTTCATGTTACAGGCCATTTTTAATTTATGCATACATCCATTAACAGACTTGTAATTAYTTCATCTATACAGCTTGTCTGTCTGATCCCCTGTCTGCAGATTGTTCCCAGTTACCTGGGAAACTGTTCAGCTGGAGGTCTCAAACTGCAAAGTTTTCACTTTTGAGCCTCTGGAATTAGTAATTTTTTTAATGTTGTGGTATTTGCAGCAAACTGTTGAAAGAGATTTCCTCCCACAAACTATCTGCCACGTTGAGGCTGGTGCTGGTTGACCCAGAGAGCAAATGCAGCACAACCAGTCCAGTTTCATGTAGTTCAACAACTGAACTGGCCAGAGGCTTTGTGTCAGAGAGAAACTCTGYTCTGAGAAACTGCTCATCCATAAGCACCTTTAACAAGTTCTTAAAAAAATGGGTTTTAGAAATACTGATGCACGATTGAGTGTAGGTTTCAGCACTCTCACGTGACCAATTTTACTGCAAAAAAGTACAAATGGCATGAAATCAGAACAKCTTGACCAGGGCACTGCTGCTGAAAATCGTGCTGGCAGTGGTTTGCTCAGAGCTCTGCTGTGCACAGGCCTGTGTGGAATAGGGAGGGGGGCACGGGGGTCCTGTTCTGGTGCACCTAAACGTTAACCTGGGAAAATGTGTGAACCCACAAGGACTGTGCCACAGCAATCCCGATGCTCCCACTCCTGGCACAGCAATCCCTCTCTCTGGCAGTTGCACTCAGCTTTGAAAGGTCGCTGTTTAAACATTTCCCACATTCCCAGTGCTGCTCGTGTGTCCAAGAGCTGGAACTGTTGGCTAGGCCAGCCTTCAGTGRAGAACTTCACAGCTCACATTCTGTGGAGAAAGGATTAGGCTTTTGACAGCTAATTTAGCTGAATTGTTTGAAATATTTATTGCCTTGGATATACTAAGGGAGAATTAAGAATATAAATAGCTTTGTGTGCATGCCTAGGGCATTAGTCACTGGATGTATTTAAAACATCRTGTTCACTTAAATCTGAGTTTCTGAAGCATGGATTAAATCCAAAATGCAGKGAATGCTTTCCCAAGATGCAGAATAAGAAACTGCCCTACATGGCAGATTTCCTTCGAAGTTCTTCTTTTATTATTGCAGAAAATTACTGAGACACAGAGACTTTGCCAGTGAACAGCACACAGATGTGACTGTTTCAGGATAGCTTAATGCAATATTTTTGCTTTCAAAAAGGGCAAGTTCATGCCTTGCAAAATGCTCCTTTTGCTCCTGTAGCAAAGGCACACAGAGTGTGGCTTGGAGCACTGCCTCCTTCCCATAGCAGCACCTTTGGCTTACCAGGGAATGCACACCAACACCATCTTCTGCTGAACAGTCCCTTCCTGGCTAAGCCCATAGATGAATTTGGAATATCTAGACTTTCACGTGCCAGAATGAGAAAACAATATTCACGTCACGGCATTTGTCATTACACAAAACCTGCTGAGACAAGATTGATGTTTTGTTTGTGAAGCTGGCGTGCTAAACCAGGAGAAGACAGTGTCGGTGTGCAGCGTCACACACSGTGTCCCTGGTGATAGCAGCAGTTCCCCTGCCCCTGTTCCCACCCAGCTGTGTCCCCAGCTCCCCTCATCCTGTGCTCCCTTTGCAGTTTGACTTTGGTGACACCGTGGTGTACCAGGCCATCCACACCATCGAGTACTGCCTGGGCTGCATCTCCAACACGGCGTCCTACCTGCGCCTCTGGGCCCTCAGCTTGGCCCACGCACGTGAGTGTCCTCAGGGGGCTGAGCTGGGTCCCTGTGCCTGTCAGCCCGGGTGGGTGGCAGGCAGGAGCATTTCAGGGCTCAGCTGGCACAGGACTGTGCTGTGTGTGCTTTACCTGGCAGCTCCACACAGCAGAGCTGCTCCCCTGAATGGAGGGAGGGAGTTAAAATCACAGAACAAAGCAAAGAGTTGCTGAGCAAGGACTCTGCCCTGCCCTGTGTGATTCCTGACACCCTTGACTGCAGAAACTCTCATCCCTCTTCTGATTCCCACCTCATTGTAGCAAGAGTTTGCTTGATTTTAGTTTTTGCTATATGAGTGAACAGCCCCCTGTGGCTGCTGACCTGAGTCTTGTCCCGTTTCTCTCCTCAGAGCTCTCCGAGGTGCTCTGGACCATGGTGATCCACATTGGCCTCAGTGTCAGGAGCCTGGGGGGAGGCTTGGGCCTCGTCTTCATCTTTGCTGCTTTTGCCACGCTGACAGTGGCCATTCTGCTGGTCATGGAGGGGCTGTCAGCCTTCCTCCACGCTCTGCGCTTGCACTGGTGAGTTACTGCAACGTCCAGAAACTTAAAGGGCTCTTCATAACACGAAAATTGCTGTCACCTGGACTGTGATGACAGAAATGCCATCTTCTAGAAGGCAGAAAATCTTTAAAAGGGTCTGAGATTTCAATCCTGTTTGTAGTAAAACACCTCTCCCTGATTGTTAAAGCTGTGGAGCTCTGCTTAGAAATAAGCACTAAAAGACTAAAACTTTAGGACCAAAGCTGTGGGAGCAGGGACTGGGGAGGCTGTGCTGGCTGGAGCAGTGTGCTTTGTGGTTTTCTGCAGCACTTTCTCATTCCATCTCTTGCTTTTTTCCCTGATTGCCATGTTTCTTGTCCTCTGTGTGCAATAGTCACTGCAGGTTCCTTCTCCTCTTGTTCATCAGTGAAGACATTGCCTTGGACAGGAGTGCCTTTGCCTTCTGCCCTTGGGGTGCTTTGGGATGGCAGGGAGTTTTTGCTGGTCTTGCTTTTAGGAGTTGCTTTTGCAACCCCTTCCCTGTGATCATTAAGCTCCTGTGTTTGCAGCCAGCAAAGCAGAAGGAATTACTCTGCTCCCAAGTATGGAAAGTATTCAAGAGCTTTCTCTAATCCACGTTTAAGAGCGCTCATTGTTCCACTTCAGATCGCCCGATTGGTGCACCGGTGTGATCAGAGGAGCAATTGGGAGTGGGATTTTCTCAGCGTGAAGCGTAGGAGAGTCAGTGCCTTTGTGGGGTTCAGGTTTCTGCCACCTCCTCAGGCTGCTGATTTCCTAGGAGGGGTCATGAGAGCAAAGGGAAGTTCGTGAATATCACAAGAAATACTCAGTCTTGCTAAAATGGGAAGAAAATCTTTGGAGCACTCTGTGAAAGTTCTGCAAGTGCAAAAAGAAGCCCAGTGCCTCAAAAAAAAAAAAAAAAAAAAACAAAAAAAAAAAACCAGCCTTTTTGCACTTTTCCCCTGCTTGTGAGCAAGGAAAACTTTGGCCTTTTGCCCTCTCCCTTGGCAGCTGGTGAGGTGCAGGCTGAGGGGTGCAGGCTGGGGTGTCCTGGCTCCCAGGGGTGCAGGCTGAGGTGTCAGGCTGAGGTGTCCTGGCTCTCAGGGGTGCAGGCTGGGGTGTCCTGGCGCCCAGGGGTGCAGGTTGGGGTGTTCTGGCTCCTGGGGGTGCAGGTTGGGGTGTTCTGGCTCTCAGGGGTGCAAGCTGAGGTGTTCTGGCTCTCAGGGGTGCAGGCTGGGATGTTCTGGCTCTCAGGGGTGCAGGCTGGGGTGTTCTGGTTCCTGGGGGTGCAGGCTGGGGTGTTCTGGCTCTCAGGGGTGCAGGCTGGGGTGTTTTGGCTCCCAGGGGTGCAGGCTGGGGTGTTCTGGCTCCCAGGGGTGCAGGCTGGGGTGTCCTGGCTCCCGGGGGTGCAGGTTGGGATGTTCTGGCACTCAGGGGTGCAGGTTGGGGTGTTCTGGCTCCCGGGGGTGCAGGTTGGGGTGTCCTGGTTCCCAGGGGTGCAGGCTGGAGGGTGCTGCTCCACCCATGCCTCTGTAAGCAAACTGATCCCGGGATTCTGGGGTGAAGCCATCTTGTGCCGAGGGAGCCGGAGGGGCACTCCTGGAAATGGCTGCTGCATGGTGCCTCTGTTTTTCCTGGCATCCAGCCTGGGCCCTGCATAGCAGTCACTCGAGAGCTCCTCACTGCCTGGCCAGAGGTCCCTCATCCCTGCTGTCACYGTGCTGGGCCACCACAGTGGGGGTGGCAGGAGCCCCACGGACCCTGCTGGGCACTGAGAGCAGTCCAAGGGCAGCTGCTCACATTCTTTTATGCTCCTGAGCTGAAAACAGGGTGTTCCAATGGCAGGTGTTCCCTTTTTAGGAGGAGGAAGGGAGAGTGGAGGTCAAACAGAGCTGTAGCTCCAGATATGGTGGGTTTGCTCTGCARTCCCTTGTGGATCAGAGGATTTCCAGGGTGTGGCCTTTGCAGGCTGTGGAGCTGCGTGGCCGTTTCTGAGCAGCTGCTCCAGACAGGATCCTTGGAGCAGAAAGCACATTTTTGGGGAGRGACCTGTCTTGTGTTGATAATCACAAACTGCACCTCCAGATATGGCTCAGACACTTGAAACAGGTGAGATCACACAATTGCTTGGCTTTCTCTAAAAGACCATTAAAAAATATCTGTGTTTTTCCCCTGTAAAGGGAAGGCTTCTGTCAGTGAAAGGGCAAACAGGGGCAGCAGCAGGGAGCTCACAGATCACTCCAGCCATGCAGACCAGTGCAGGGCACAGCCTGGCAGCTGTGGATCTTAAATGCTTAACAAAATCCTGTTTTCCCCAAGCATGTCTTTCTAACTTGCAAGCCTTTCATGTACGGGCTCTGAGAGAAAATCCATTCAGGCTCAGAGCCCAAAAAGCAAGCTTAAGGCTCTATTTCAGACTGCAAGAGATATGCTGAAATGGTTTTGGGTTTGCTGGGTGTTGCTTATCACAGGGAGGCACCTGCAGTGGTTCCAAAGAGCACGCTGTTCACATTCCATTTTGTTCCTGAACTGAAAACAGAGCGTTCCAATGGCAGGTGTTCCCTTTTTMGGGGGRGAAAGGGAGAGTGGAGGTCAAATAAAACTGTCCTGGGAGGAGCAGATGGGATTTTCTGGCTCTGGGAAAACAGTCACCTATCAGGAATTTGAGGTGTGGGTGGTTGGGCCTTCCTGGAAAGGAGGAGGAATCGAGCATGTGTTTTACTGGCCAGAAAATTCACAGGTTGTTCCATGTGCTGTGCTTGGCAGTCCCAAATGAGGGAGGTTTATTTTCTGCTTTTCCAGTGTGCATTCTTTGAGCAGGTTGGGCTTTTCTGGGGTGGAAGCAGCACTCTGGATTGCTGCCAGGATTGCAGGGTGTGAATCAGGGCTCTACTGCAGCTCGGTAGGTGTTTGAGCTGCTGTGCTGTCAGCTTCTTTTACTGTAACTCTTCTGAAATCTATCACTCTTCTGAAATCTATCACTCCTCTGAAATCTATCACTCTTCTGAAGTATACCACTCTTCTGAAATATTTAGCCTTTCCATTTACTGCTTTTCAGTGATGCAGTTTGACGTGCATGTTCAGATTAAAACAGCTTCCCCATTTTTAAGCTAGTCCCCTCTTCCAATGTGACCCAAAACAGATTGTGCCCAAAAGGAAAGGTTTGTAATTGGATTCTGAGTGTTTCCCAGCAGGCGTGGGTGTGTTGAGTGCATCCCACTCWCAGTCCAGTGCGTGGGAGGGGTGAAATCCAGCTGCTCACCCACCTGCCAGCATTTGATTTTCCTTTGTAAAGGTCATGAGCCAGCAGTGCTGTCTCTGTCAGGCTGAAAGGAATATCCCACAGTGACAGATACAGGTCCTAGATCGTTTTTGGGGAGGAATAACTGCAACAGTCTCTGCACAGACACCCCAGTGGGTTCTGACTGTCAGATGTGCCACCCTCGAGGTGTGCCTGGTTTACATTTGACCCCAGGCTCTGGCACCTGTCTTTGGGGACACAAACATGGAGTGAGAATTTGCATTTGTACTGAGTGATAGTCAGGATTCCYGTTGTGCTTTGCCTCCTGCTGACGGGGCTGGAGCTGCCTGGTTTCCAGTGTCAGTACCCTGACTCTGGGGGGTTGGAAAATCCACAGAGTTACAGTCTGACAAACACTGGTGCTCATTATTAATGCAAAAAGCTGCAGAGTGGGTTTCCAGAGGACTCCTGGGCTGGTTGCTCACAGTGCCCACTGTCTATAAATTCTCTGCAGAGCTTGGTGACCAATAGGAGATCCAGGGAGAGTTTAGCAATGACCTGGGACAAGAGACAGGCAGCGAGCCCAGCAACAGCAGTGACTCCTTCTGGTTTCTGGGTGTTCCCAGAGACAGCTACAGAAAACCCCACTGACCATTTACACCGTGATTATGTGGTTAAATACACTTTTCTCACTATTTCTCTAACCTTAGAGCAGCCTCTCTTGCAGCATCAGGCTTCAAGTTGTGGCCAGTTCTAACAGAATGTCCAAAAGAAAACTTTGGATGCTGGGGCCAGCTGGAATTGTGAATCATCAGGGTTAACATGTCAGTCACAGTGGGTGACTCAGATACCCAGCCTTCTGCCTCTCATTTCCCTTTGCTTACAGAACAGTTACTTAGTCACAGGATACTTGTGGAGATTATCAGGGTTCCTGAAAAACTGGAGCGTGTTGGCAAGGAGCCCTTCCTCCCACACGGAAAATCCTGCTCATCCTGGGGATCCCTTGGCCTCTGAGGCACCAGCAGAYACAAGCTCGAGCTGGTTTTCCTGAGCATTTCCCTCCTGGGCTCTGTGGGGAAATCATTTTTTGCTAGCTGAACCCAGCAACTCTGGAGTTTGCCCTGATTCCACATTTGGGGGAAAATAATTCAAACTTGTCTTTTTTTGCTGGAAAACCCCCTTCTCCTGAACTGTGCTAAACGCTTCCCAGTTTGCTGTCACTTGCTGCCTGCAGRGACTTTGTTTTCCAGCAGATTTTGCAGTTGAAAGTGTCTGTGAAGCCTGGCCTTGTTTTTGCTGRGAACCAGGGGATTAGTTTTCCCTGACCCTATTTGGCTGTCACTGACCATTGGGCAGTTCTCTAGAATAATTCTCTTTTTTGTAACCTGAGTTCATCGAGGGCAGCCCAGCAAATGGGGCTGAGCTAACGCTGGGCTGGAGCTGGCAGGCACATCCCAGTGCAAATGTGCTGCAGGGAATAAACAGAAGTGGCTGCTGGGGSAGCCTGAGCTCAGTGTCACGTGGCTGAGGCTTGTGCTAACGAAAAAAGGGAACTTTAGAAGCTGCTGTAGAAAATGCTGTCTCTGCTGCCTGTGCTTTCCAGGACACTGCAGTCAGGACCAACTTTCTGCTCTTATTGACCTTTTATTGAGGGTGGGGTCGGAGTTTCTAGACAGTGTTCTGCTCCACACAGAAGCATCACATATAGATGGGGGGATTTTGCCAAAAGATACATTATAGTATCTCTTTTTCTTTTTTTTACAGACAAATTTTATATTTGTATTTGTATTTATATCTGTATTTATATTTGTATATATTTATATTTATATTTGTATATATATATTTATTTTTATTTTTATTTTTATTTTTATTTTTATTTTTATATTGTATTTCTGTTTAATTTATATTTATTTTATATTTTTAAAATATTTTTTAAAATTTATATTCTCTTTTTTATATAGAAATTATTTTATAGTAAATAATCCTACTTTTATTGGAGTTCTTGATATTTGTTCCTATTGAGAGCCACCTTTTTAATGAGTAATAACCCTTCTATCTCCTGCAGGATCGAGTTCCAGAACAAGTTCTACACTGGCACAGGGTTCAAGTTTCTCCCTTTCTCCTTTGACATCATCCGTGAGGGGAGGTTTGATGACTGAGCCCCCCACTCCAGCAGTGTTAAACGTTGTGTGTGTGTGTGTGTGAGTGACCCTCCCAACACCAATTGTGTGAGTGACCCCTCCCCGTGTGTCCGAGTTGTGTGTGTAGTGACAGTTAACTTATTGCAGCACCCCTGAGCGTTCCCATGGCATCCCAAAGCCAAAAGCTTTCACGTTCTGGGGTGATGACACTGGATCACAGAAACTTTCTGTTCTTTACGTTTACTCCCAAAGGTACCAAGTGCATGAGGTGTCTCTTTTTTTTGGTGTGCTCCTTGTATTGTGCATTCCTTGGCAGCTGATCAGGGCAGGAGAGAAATGCAGCTGTGCTGAGGGGACAAAAGAGCACGTGGAGGAAAGGTCCAACGACCTCAACACGGGAAGAATGAGGGCTGTTCCCCCTCTTATTGCTGGAATTTGGCTGCCTGGCTGTCACTGAGGGCAGGATGGGGAGGGATGAGCCTTGTTGGAAACTGGCACGTGTCACTGCAGGAATTGCCACTGGCAGGGGAGCTTCTGGAGGGCTTCTGGTTTAAAACCAAAGCCTCGAAGCACATCAGATAGTGGTTATGTGGGTTTGGCATTGGTGGAGGCAGCTTTTGCACAGGTGGAGGTAGCAGTGACTCACATTGTCTGTGCACTCAGGGCTGAGGAGCCCTTTATGGGAGAGCAGTGGCCCACTCTTGCCAAAATAGCACCACGGCAGGGGGTGTGTGGTGTGTCCCTGCATTAGCTGTTGTTTTCTCTCCTGCCCCAGCTGTCAGTGTTTCCTTGCACTCCTCAACTCGATGTAGCTGTAGCAGCAGTGGGGTGTGTGTTAGTGCTGTGTGTGACTGTCGGGGTTAATTCTCCCAGTGGAGCTGAGTGTTTGTGTGTGAACAGATTATCCTTGACCTGGAAGCAAGCAGGAAATRCCTCGAGGTGCCAGGCTGCTTAAAATTAGGTGAGAAAGTTACACGTACATTGCACACTGCAGTGTGGGGCATGGGGAGCCTTGTGCTGCACTTGGGCACTCACAGTGTCACRGGTGGACGTGGTGACCATTCACAGAGGTTTTTGCACACTGAAGGGTGAAATCAAAGCTGCAGGTGGAGCATTGACATGAGTCCTGCTGTGTTCTGCTGCCTGGGTGAAACRTGTTGCTGACAGTCACTGTATAAATTAAATTAACTCCACAACAAGTACCGTGCTCTGTTTTCTGTTTCCCCAGTGCTCGCTGAGGGGGTTCAGGGGCAGCCCCTCATCCCTGACCTACACTGAGCACAGTCCCTGGAGCTGTTGGGGGCAGCTGGGACCTTTGGTGTTTCTGCRCGGGATTCTGTCACCTCCATGGCCAGAACCGTGGGGTGGGCAAGGCTGGTTTGTACAGCAAGACCAGCGTGGCCCTGCCTGGGCTGTAGTGTCGCTGTGTTTATCGAGCCCCAGAGCCATCCTGAGCAAAGGCCAGACTTTCCTGGCGTCTCTTGCCCACCCTGATAGACCCCATAACTGGGTGGAACAGGAGTTGTGCAGGAGGAAAAGCTCCAGCTTGTTTAAACCGGGTGCTGTGGGTACCGTTTGACGCGGGGTGGGGAAACACGCTCTGCCTGCCCAGGGCTGTGTTTTCCCCGGCCACAGGGACCCCTGCTCCTCCCGAAGGGCTGTGTTTACTCAGGCCCTTCCTGCCGGAGAGGGAATTTCCACATGTTCGAGAGCAGCGGAAGGGRGGGTTCTGCAGGGTTCTTTCTGGCTGTTGCGTGGCTGATGTCCGTGTGTTTCCCATCTGATACCTCCGGAGGGCGAGAACCGCGCTGAACTGCGGCCCCAGCCTCCCGCACTCTTGGACGAGGAACCTGCAGGCTTCCCGCAGGTCCGGGAGATGTTTTTCCCGTTGTAGATCCCAGTTAGCGGAGGGATGTTCTCTCTGCACCAATCTCCTGTGCAATCACAGTATTTCTGCCCGTTTCCATGGCTCCGGGGTCTCAGCGCAGCCATGGTGCTGGCAGGACACCCCGGTCCCCCCTGGGCTGCGCTGGGGGTGCTCGGGGAGCCCCGAGTTCCCCCGTCCCTCCCCCGTGCTGCCCCRCAGCTGGACTCTGTCCTGGAAGTGTTCATGAATTCCCCCTGGAGCTGGCAGGGATCTCGGGCAGCCCGAACCCGCCCTGCCCCGTTCTCCGGCGGGGTTCGCCTCGGCGGGCAGGGACGGAGCCRCTCCGGGCGGTGCCGGGGCGCTCCCCCGCCCCGAGGCACCGGCGCTGTCCCCGCTGCCCGGTCTCGCAGCGCCCCCGGCCGGCGGCAGCGGGTCCCGGTCAGTCCCGGTCAGTCCCGGGAGCCCCCGGGCTGACGGATGGCCGGGGCCACCGCGTGCGGAACCGCCACGGGTGGAAAACGCGAAATTGGTTTCCCGTTTCCGCGGGGATCGCGCTGCCCCGGGCAGGAGCTGCAAATTTGCAAATTTGGCCCCAGCTCGGGCACCCGGAGCGGACGGGGAAGGGGTCGCAGTGGCCCCGGGGCTCAGGGAGCGCCTGTCCCCTGCCCCAGCCCGCCCCGGCTGCCGGAACCGACCGGTCCGGGATATCCCTGCTGCAAAGAATCGGGACCCGGCCGCGGACACCAGGCCCGCCCCCGCCGCCGGGACCGCCCAGCGCCGCGGGGTCGGGAGAGGCGGCACCGGGAGAGGCGGGGCCCGGCGCAGGAAGCGGCGATGGCGGTGCGGCGGGGATCCGAACCGGGACCGGGACCGGGTCCGGGACCTGGGCTGGCGCTGCCGTTTCTGCTGCTGCTGGCGGCGACGGCGGTGCGAGCGGGGGACGCGCGGCAGGAGGAGGCGGTGCGGGCGCTGGCGCGGCGYCTGCTCGGCCCGCGGGCCGCCGCCGTGTCGCTGTCGGTGGACCCGGCGCTGGCGGCCGGCGGGCCTGACATCTATCGGCTGTGGTCGCCTCCCGGYGCCGCCGTGGCCGTCGCCGTAACGGGCTCCAGCGGCGTGGCGGCGGCCGCCGGCCTCTATCGCTACCTGCGRGACTTCTGCGGCTGCCACCTGTCGTGGTCCGGGGCTCAGCTCCGCCTGCCGGACCCGCTGCCGCGGCTGCAGGCCGAGATCCGCGCTGCCGCCCCCGGCAGGTAACGGGGACGCGGGGCCGGGCACCGCTCACGCCTCGTTAGCGCGAGATAAAGCGGTGTTATATAACGGGGGCCCGGGGGGCGCGGGGGGCCCGGGCGCAGCCTCCGCCGCTCCCGCAGGTACCGCTACTACCAGAACGTCTGCACCCAGAGCTACTCCTTCGTCTGGTGGGACTGGGCGCGCTGGGAGCGGGAGATCGACTGGATGGCGCTGAGCGGCATCAACCTGGCGCCGGCTTTCGCGGGGCAGGAGGCGGTCTGGCAGCGGGTGAGGACCGGCGCCGAGGGGCGGCGGGGACCGGGAGGGCGTCGGAACCCGAACCGACAGGGTGGCGGTGTCGGGATCTCTGTTACCGGGAGCCGTGAGAGCGGCTAAACCCCGGCACCCGGCGCAGGTTTACCGCAACCTGGGGCTGAACCAGTCGGAGATCGATAAGTACTTCACGGGACCCGCGTTCCTGGCGTGGAAYCGGATGGGGAACCTCCGCCGCTGGGCCGGGCCGCTGCCGCCCGCCTGGCACCTCAAGCAGCTCTACCTGCAGGTACCGGGGGAACCCCGCCCGCCCGGGGCAAACCCCTGTCACCCTCTGCTCCTCCTGGCCGAGGCTGCCCTCACGGAGCCTGGAGGATCCCCCCGCCCCGCCCCGAGCTGCAGCAGCGCTCGGGGTCCCCTCGCGGGGAGGTGCGGGGTTTTCTCCCTCTGCTCCCTCTCTCATTTCTCTCTCCCAGTACCGGATCGTGGAGCGGATGCGCTCGCTGGGGATGACCACGGTGCTACCGGCCTTCGCGGGCCACGTGCCGCAGGGCATCCTTCGGTAGGTGCAGTCCCTGCCCTGGGGACTCAGCCCTGGGTCTCTCCTCCCACCGTGGCTTCCCCGGGACGCTGATCTGTCCCCGCACGGGCACAGCGTTCCTGTCCTGTCCTCCTGATCCCCATCTCCACCCTGTGGTGCAGGGTCTTCCCACGTGTGAATGCCACTCGCTTGGGGCACTGGAGCCACTTCGACTGCACCTACTCGTGTACCTACCTGCTGGACCCAGAGGACCCCATGTTCCAGGTGATCGGGACCCTCTTCCTGAAGGAGCTGATCAAGGAGTTCGGCACAGACCAYGTCTACAGCGCAGACACCTTCAACGAGATGACACCCCTGTCCTCTGACCCTGCCTATCTCTCGAGAGTCAGCAATGCCGTTTTCAGGTCAATGATGGGAGGTAGGTCAGTGAGCAGTGCTGGCCCAGCTGCAGGGGTCCAGGAGAGATAGCAGGGGCTGGTCAAGGTGCTGGTGGGCCCCATGCAAGCACAGACCCCCAAAACCCCCTTGAGGGGTGRTTGGYRGCTCCAGGGTCTCATGAGACACCTRTGGGTRCTGTTTGGAGAGGACTTCACCTGGTGCTCTTCTGTCCCCAGCTGACCCCAAGGCGCTGTGGCTGATGCAGGGCTGGCTCTTCCAGCACCAGCCCGACTTCTGGCAGCCAGCGCAGGTGCGGGCCCTGCTGCACGGTGTGCCCCTGGGCAGGATGATTGTTCTCGACCTCTTCGCTGAGTCCAAGCCCGTCTACCAGTGGACAGAGTCCTTCTACGGACAGCCCTTCATCTGGTGCATGTTGCACAACTTCGGGGGCAACCACGGCCTCTTTGGCACYGTGGAGGCCATCAACCACGGTCCCTTCACAGCTCGCCGCTTCCCCAACTCCACCATGGTGGGCACGGGGCTGGTGCCCGAGGGCATCGAGCAGAACGACATGGTGTACGAGCTGATGAACGAGCTGGGCTGGCGCCAGGAGCCSCTGGACCTGCCCAGCTGGGTGACCCGCTACGCCGAGCGCCGCTACGGCGCCCCGAACGCTGCCGCGGCCAGCGCCTGGCGCCTGCTCCTCCGCAGCGTCTACAACTGCACCGGCGTCTGCGTCAACCACAACCGCAGCCCGCTGGTGCGCCGGCCCTCGCTGCGCATGGACACGGAGCTCTGGTACAACGCCAGCGATGTGTACGAGGCCTGGCGCCTGCTGCTGAGCGCCGGCGCCCAGCTGGGCTCCAGTTCCRCCTTCCTCTATGACCTGGTGGACGTGACGCGGCAGGCGGCCCAGCAGCTGGTCAGCGACTACTACCTGAGCATCCGCCAGGCCTTCCAGAGCCACGCGCTGCCCGAGCTGCTGACGGCCGGCGGCGTGCTGGTCTATGACCTGCTGCCGGAGCTGGACAGCCTCCTGTCCAGCCACAGGCTCTTCCTCCTCGGCCRCTGGCTGGAGAGCGCCCGTGCCATGGCCACCAGTAACCGGGAGGCTGAGCAGTATGAGCTGAACGCCCGGAACCAGGTGACGCTCTGGGGACCCAGYGGGAACATTCTGGACTACGCCAACAAGCAGCTGGGTGGGCTGGTGCTGGACTACTACGGCGTGCGCTGGAGCCTCTTTGTCTCCGTGCTGGTGGAGAGCCTCAACTCGGGCCGCCCCTTCCACCAGGACCAGTTCAACCAGGCTGTCTTTCAAGTGGAGAGAGGCTTCATCTACAACAAGAAGCGCTACCCAGCTGTGCCAGCTGGGGACACGATGGAGATCTCCAGGAAGTTGTTCCTCAAATACTACCCCAGCGCCCTGCGGCGCAGCTTGGCTGTGCCTGCGTGACTTTGCGCTCTGCCTCTGAAGCCTCTCCCAGGGAGAGTGGACAGAGCCCCTGCACCCTCCCCCATCTGAGCTCCTGGCCTGATGGCTGCATCCTGGCTGTACTGGAAAAGGGACACAGAGCCCTGGTGGCCCCCAGCCAGCCTGGACCCCCCCAGTTCCCCTGCATGGGCAGGACATGCCCCAAGAGGGGCTGACACATGGACAAGGGATTAGCACATGGAGGGGGGTGGGCTGTGCCCCAGGGACCCATCCTGCACCCTGCTTTGTGCTCAGCTCTGCCTGGCTGCCCTGAGCCTGTTCCTAGGAAGGCTGGGCTACCCCAGTGCTCTCAGCTGGAAGCTTGGTAGGACATTGCAAAGGGACAGGACAAATGTGTCCCTGCTGTGGGGCATTGGCTGGCTAGCAGGGGCAGTGATGGGGAAAAGCAGACAGGGAGGTGGCAATGGTCAGKGGGACCCTGGACCCCATTGCCTGTGGGAACATGACAGTGCATTTCCCTCCCCACATTTGGTGCCTTTTGAATTCTAAAAGACTTTGCAGCATTGCCTGCAGTGTTGCTGGGGTTGCACTCCCCAGGACGGAGTTTTTGAGGCCCTTTCCCCAGCTGGGGCTTGGGCAGAGCCCAGGACTGCGGAGCAAATAAAGATTTTTTTCTCCCATGTGTCCAGCTCCTTTTGCTTTCCAGGACTGTGTGTGGAACATGGGGGRCAGAGGAGCAGCTCAGCCCTGAGCCTGCACAGCAGGAACAACACTCTGCCAGATGTGTCCTGGCAGCCTGGCACAGCAGAGYACAGCTGGCACAGACCCCCGGAGGCTCCTGGCTCGGTGGAGCCTTTATCACACCACCTGCACGGGGATCAAAGCGCAGGGAGCCCCAGGCATGCGCAGGGAGGTGGCTGGAGGGGCCTTGAGATAAGGCAGCAGACACAACACAGCAGCGTGGGGCGGGGGGACCCCTCCCCAGCCCTCTTAAATGGGGTGGCTGCGTTGGCCAGCACTGCCAGCCATGGAGAGAACCACGGTGCTGATCACGGGCTGCTCCTCGGGCATTGGCCTGGCACTGGCTGCACGCCTGGCAGCCGATGCCGCTCGCCGCTTCAAAGGTAAAGGGTCAACCCTGTCCTGGGGGTGTCCGGCCGTCCCAAGTGGTCTCCGGGCTGGGCCAGGCAGTACCACACCAAGGACAGACAGAGCCTGGGGGTGGTCTGGGGTTGGTGCTGACTGCACAGCTCAGTGCTGCCCACGGCTGTGCTCTGCCCCCAGTTTATGCCACCATGCGTGACCTGGCCAAGGGTGAGCGGCTGCTGGAGCGCCTGGGCGGCTGCTGCCCCGACACGCTGGAGATCTTGCAGCTTGATGTCACTGACCCGTGCTCGCTGGCAGCTGCTGCACAGCGGCTGCAGGGACAGCGGCTGGATGTGCTGGGTATGGCTCTTCCTGGTGCCCCCAGTGTTCCTGGGGTGGCTGGGAGGACCTCTTGGGGTCACAACCCTCCCCAGGGCACCGGGAGCAGATCTCAAATCGTGGGAGGTGCAGGCAGTCCTAGGGCTGAGACAGGACATGTTTAGTGGGGCAGAGGTGCAGGAGATGGATTTGGGGGTGCCAAGGACCCATTAACAGGGAAAGACCACCCCCCCCATTTCCTCCTTTCTGGCGGGGCTACAGTGACTGTCTGACCGCACTGTGCCCGGCTGACTGCACCATGCCTGGCAGTCTGCAAYGCCGGGGTGGGACTGATGGGACCGCTGGAGACCTGCTCCGACCAAGCCATGAAAACTCTGTTCGACGTGAACCTTTTCGGGGCTGTCCGCACCATCCAGGCGTTCCTGCCCGCCATGAAGAGCCGCAGGGCYGGGCGGATCATCGTCTCCAGCAGCATTGGGGGGCTGCAAGGTGGGATCCCCAGCGCCCCGAGGCACAGGGAGCCGCGGGGAAGRGCYCTGGTGCTCAGGGTGCGGCTCTGCYCCAGGGCTGCCCTTCAATGCTGTGTACTGCGCCAGCAAATTTGCAGTGGAGGGGCTGTGCGAGAGTCTGGCCATCGTCCTGCGCCCCTTCAACATCCAGTGAGTGCCACGAGGGTTGGATCCTGCCCAGCAGGACGGGGGGATGCCAGGGTGGGGGTACGGCGGYAGCTCATGCACTCCCTCCCGCAGCCTGACCCTGGTGGAGTGTGGCCCCGTCCACACCAGCTTCCTGGCCAACCTGCAGCGCCCCGACCCTGAGGGCAGCGAGATGCGGAGCCTGGACGCAGACACACGGGAGCTGTACCGCCGGTACCTGTGGCACTGTCAGAGCATCTTCCGCGACGCGGCGCAGGAGGTGGAGGAGGTGCTGCCGGTCAGTCCCCGGGGAGCGGGGGTGGCCRTGGGACCGCACCGGGGGCGGCTCTGACCCGTCTGCGGTGCCAGGTGTTCCTGGAGGCCATCGGCAGCCCCAGCCCGCCCCTCCGCTGCGCCAGCACCCACCTCCTCGCCCCRCTCTGGCGCCTGCGGTTGAGCAACCCCGACGGCTCCGCGTATGTGCGCGCCATGCACGATTTCGTCTTCGGCGGCGGCGAAGCCAGCGGGGACCAGCCCTGAGTGGAGCCACCGGAACACCGGTACCCTGAGCGGAGCCACGGGAACACCGGTACCCTGAGCGGAGCCACCGGAACACCGGTACCCTGAGCGGAGCCACCGGAACACCGGTACCCTGAGCGGAGCCACCGGAACACCGGTAGCCGCCGCCATGCGAACCCCCAGCCCGGGCCTCATCGCGTGCTCGGTCCCGACGCGTCCCCAATAAAGCCCTTTGCAGCCGCACGATTCCGTCTGGGTCCGTCTCACGCCGCGGGCCGGGCGGAGCTGCARTGCGGCCGGATCTGCTGGTCTCCTCCCTCCGCGGGCGGAGCCGGGCGCACCGCCCGCCCGCGGCGRGGCTGCCCGGGAGGCGGTGCTGTTCCGGTGCCGTCGCCGTCCCCGTTCCGGTCGGCGGCGGTTCCGGGGGGGCGATGCCGCCCTTCGCCTCGGGGCTGCTGGTGCTGACGGCGCCGCTGCCCGCGCTGCCCCGGCGGGCGGCGGGGCTGGTGGCGGCGGCGGCGGGGCTGGTGGCGGGGCCGCTGTACGTGCATCTGCAGCCGGGGCTGCGGCTGGGCTGCCCCGCCGCCGGTCCCGCCGCGCCGCCCGCCGCCTGGCACAGCCGCCCCGCGTCCTGCTGGCGGCCGCTGCCGAGGCGCCGGGGCCGCCGGAGCCGGTGCAGCTCGGGCTGCAGCGCCTGGCCGCCGCTGTGTACGGCTGCCCGCCGAGCCTGCCCGCGATGCTGCTGGGCGAGGACACCGCGGGGGACCCCGACGGGGACCCCGAGCAGGATCCCGACGCGACGCTCCCCGAATTCTTGGACGTGGCGGTTGGCGGCACTTTCGACCGGCTCCACGGCGCCCACCGGCTCCTGCTCAGCGCCTGCTGCCTCCTGGCCCGGCGGCGGCTCCTGGCCGGGGTGGCCGACGGAGACCTGCTCCGCCGTGAGTCCGGGGYGGCCGTGGCACTGCGTGGGGACGAGGGGTCAGCCTGGTGCTKCCCGGGGCAGGGCAGTGATCTGGGGACCCAGTGACCCGTGAAATCCTGGCGGCCAGCCACCCAAGGCAGAGTGTCACTGGGGATCTGGTGGGGACCTGTATCCTGTCCACAACCAGATGCAGCGAGGGCAAGGGGAGGGGAAGGCAGCGTTCAAAGTCCCACACRGGTGTTGTCTGCCATCTCCTGGTCTTGCTTTTCCATCATTCTTSTGCTTCTCTGCCCTCTTGGTACCTGGCAGACAAGGTCCTGCCAGAGCTGATTGAGCCATACGAGCTGCGGGCGGCGAAGCTGCGCGAGTTCTTGGAGGACGTGAAACCTTCACTGTGCTATGACATCGTGCCTCTGGCTGACCCCTTCGGCCCCTCAATCACAGACCCTGACCTGCAGTGCCTGGTGGTCAGTGAGGAGACCCGCCGGGGAGGGGAGGCTGTCAACMAGAAGAGACTTGAAAATGTAATTCCCACACTGCCCACTGTCTCTCCCTGCCTGACATTGCCTGGGGGCAAATTTGGTCTCGATTCGCCCCTTCCCTCTCCTGGCTTCTCATGGCTGACAGTCCTTGGGGCTCCCTTCTCTCATCAGGGGCTCCCTGAGCTGGCTCTTCATGAAATCCAATTGATGAAGGACCCTGACCACAGTCAGAATGAGGAGGAGAAGATCAGCTCCTCCAGCCTCCGGCAGAGGCTGCTGGGGACACTGCTGCAGCCCCCACGGGTGAGGGGGGCCTGTGAAGCTGCAGCTGCAGTGGGACTGGTGTGCCTGGGAGGAGGGTGGGAGGCTCGGGAGTCAAAGGGTTTGGAAAGGCTGCTCTGCAGGCCACAGCCTTTCATGGCCATCTCCAGGCTGGGCTGTCAGGATCCTTCTCCAGCAAAGCCCCACTCTCTGTCTGCTGCCACGGCTTTCCTCTTTCCSTTAGCAAGATCTGGCTTTGCCGTTGCGCCCATATGTGATTGGCCTGACTGGGGGCACTGGGAGTGGGAAAACCTCCATCGCCAGAATCCTGGGGGACCTGGGCGCCTTTGTCATCGATGCTGACAAACTGGGCCACGCCGTCTATGTCCCCGGTGGCCCGGCCTACGAGCCAGTGGTGGCAGCCTTYGGGGCAGGTAGAGTCACTGGAGGCTGTGGGGACAAGGATGGGGAGGGAGGGGTGCCCCAGCATCCCAGAGAGCTCTGGCCAGTGCCCCTGTCCAACCCCATGGGTTTCGGGCTCCCCAGGTGTTGTGTGTCCCATGTCAGGGCTGCTGTTTGCCTGGAAAAAGCTCTTCCCCATCCTTTTCAGAAGTTGGGTGAAGAGCTGACAGGTCAGGTCTTACAGCCCTTTCCTGCTGAGAGCCCTGTTCTAAAGCTCTTTCCCCAACCCAGGCTTGCCATAGGCWTGGGGTTTGTCCCTCCCAAACCTGTTGTGCTTGTGCCTTGCAGAGATCCTGAACACAGATGGGACAATAAACAGGAAAGTCCTTGGGGCCAAAGTGTTTGGAAACCAGGTAAAAGGTTTATTGTAAATACTTAATCCCATGAGTAAGGGGAGCCCTCCTCTTGTGCCAGGGGTTTTTAGTTTTCAGCCCTTTGAGATGACAACTTCCTGGATAGATTTCCTGACAGTGGTGTGGGGACAGGGTGGGACAGATCCCATCTGCTAATGGCAGGACAAAGAAAATAACAGTGAGGAAAAAGCACCCCGACCCTGGCTGCAGGAATGGGAACCTCCAGCCAGTGTGAAAGCCTTGTTGGTGCTTGGCCATGGGCTTAACCCACCCCCCAGCCTCAGTGAGTCCATCCTGGGTGTCCCCTGACTGCTCATACCCCCACACTCCTGCTTGGCTGCCCAGGGGTTCTGAGGGCAAGGGACCAAATCTCAAATCCCTCTGTGGTCTTTCCTAGGAGCGGCTGAAGAGCCTGACGGACATTGTGTGGCCCAAAATAGCTCAGATGGCAAAGGACAGAGTCAGGGAGGCTGATGCGCAAGGTAAGGGGGGCAGCTCTGTGGCAGCCCTGCACTGCAGGAAGGTGGAACTGAGCCCAGGCTGGGCACTGAGGAATGCCCTTGGTCCGCAGGGAAAGCTGTGTGTGTGCTGGATGCTGCTGTGCTGCTGGAGGCTGGCTGGCAGGACATGGTCCACGAGGTGTGGACAGCCATCATCCCAGAGGACGAGGTGGGCATGCCCTGGGCCCGTCCCTTGCTACCGGGGCTGGCCCTCAGCGTCCCCCCCAAGCACCTGAGTGTCCCCTGTTGTCCCTGCCAGGCCGTGAGACGCATCGTGGCCAGGGACGGGCTGAGCGAGGAGGCTGCTCGCCGCCGGCTGCAGAGCCAGATGACCAACAGGCAGCGGGTTGAGCAGTCGCARGTGGTGCTCTGCACCCTCTGGGAGCCGGACATCACCCGCCAGCAGGTGAGCCTGGGGCTGCTGCAGCACCAGGGCTGCTCTGGGTGAGTGTGACAGGAACCGGAGTGCTCAGTGCTGTGCTCAGGCCATGCCTTGGTGCTGTGCTCACTGTCGAGGCTGCCTCTGGACACAGCCATGGACGGGTGGCTTTGGGGATGTAAACTCAGCCAGGAAGGAAGAGGAGGCATACGACCCTCGTGGGATGCTCCTGCCCTGAGCTGAGGTGCCGCTCGCCTTACCCATGGGCTCTGAAGTGTCGCCTGGATGGTTCTGTGGCAGGTGCAGAAGGCCTGGGACCTGCTGCAGCAGCGCCTGAGTCCGGAGCCCAGCCCGTGAGGGGACAGTCCCACATGGTCCCCTGAGAGGTCCGTGAACTGCCACCACTGCCCGCGATGAACCGGCGGACGGAGCAGCGCAGGATCGAGACCACCGGTCCCGTCCAGCCCTGGTGCGGGTCCGAGACCACCGGTCCTGTCCAGCCCTGGTGCGGGTCCGAGACTGCCGGTCCCGTCCAGCCCTAGCGCAAGTCCGGGGCGTCCCCCGGTGAGGGGGGACCCCTCAGGGCTGAGCCTTGCTGGGTGACAGTAAAAAGGCTGCTCCTGCAGTGCGTGTCCGTGCGCCGGTGCCATACCCTCACCTGCCCCCGCAGGAGCTCTGCTGCCCCCGGGCTCCCCCCCAGCTCTCGTTACGGCCCGCGGCGCTGCAGGGCTCACTGTGGGGTTCACTGTGGGGCTCGCTGTGGGGTTTGCTCTGGGGCTCCCCTCAGTGTGGAGCTCCCCTCAGTTTGGGGCTCCCCTCAGTGCAGGGCTCCCCTCAGTGCGGGGCTCCCTTCAGTGTGGGGCTCCCCTCAGTTTGGGGCTCCCCTCACTCTGGGGCTCCCCTCAGTTTGGGGCTCCCCTCAGTGTGGAGCTCCCCTCAGTGCCGGGCTCCCCTCATTGCCGGGCTCCCCTCATTGCCGGGCTCCCCTCAGTTTGGGGCTCCCCTCAGTTTGGGGCTCCCCTCAGTTTGGCGCTCCCCTCAGTGCGGGATTCCCCTCAGTGCCGGGCTCCCCTCAGTTTGGGGCTCCCCTCAGTGTGGAGCTCCCCCCAGTGCCGGAATCCCCTCAGTGCCGGGCTCCTCTCAGTTTGGGACTCCCCTTAGTTCCGCGCTCCCCTCAGCGTGCGGCCGGGGCTGGCGCCCCCTGGCGGCGCGGGTGGGGCGGCGTTCCCGTTGGCCGCCGCGGCGGTCACATGACCGGGCGGGCGGAAGATGGCGGAGCCGCCGGGAGTCGCGGCCGAGGATTCGTGGGGGAAGGTGGGGTCGGGTCGGGCCGGGCCGGGCCGGCGGCGGCCGCGGGGGTGCAGGGCCGGGCCGGGGCTCATGGCGGTCRGGCGGGGCGAGCGCCGGGCTGGGGGTACTGGGGCGGGGAGTTCGCAGGTGTCGGTGTGGGTGAGGGGCGGTGGCCAAAGGCCCCGGCGGAGCCGCAGCTCGGGGGTGGTGGGTGCTGCTCGGGCCGGGGGCTCCGGGGCGCGGGCCGCGGTCGCCGCCCCAGTCCCACTGATGTGTCTCCTCCGCCCGCCGGCTCCGAGCAGGTGGAYGTGGCCTACGGCGACAATGGCCTGGACTCTGGTAGGTGCCCGGGCGGCGCCCGGCCCGCGCCAACCCCGTTCKTGGGTGGCAGTGGCGACGCCCCTCATGTCCCTGCGCCCGGTCACACCCCGCGCTGGGCACTGACCCAGGGACACTCTTTTTCCAGCACTCTTCATGGAWAATGCCCGGAAAGGCAGCATAGTGTCCCGGGCCAACAGCATCGGCTCCACMAGTGCCTCTTCTGTCCCCAACACAGGTGGGGTTTGTCCTCCGTGAGTGTTTCTGTTCCTGGGGAATCCAGCATATGCCGGGCTCCAGGCCTGCCCTGCACTGATGGGGTGAACGTGGCTGGGCAGGATTCCTGTCCTGAGGAGGAGGAAGGTGGTGGGAGCAGCATCAGGGTTCTGTGATTTCCAGCAGGGTTTGGAGTCGAGAATCACTCTGGTTTTAATACCTTCCAAGGGAGCTGCTGGCATCTGCCTTCTGCCCTGCTCCCCAAGGAGAGGGAAAGGGTTGCTAAGACTCCTTGGAAGGCTTTACTTTGACCCACCCTGCTGTAGCTGACWGGGGTGGGGGCTAAAGCTGGGCTTACTGCAGYCACAGTGGTCCCTTGAGCTGTCTTRTTCCCCTTGTCACACCTAWGCCCTCCTCAGCTGCAGCCACGCTCTGTCCCCACAGATGATGAGGACAGTGACTACCACCAGGAGCCCTACAAGGAGTCGTACAAGGACCGGCGCCGCCGGGCACACACCCAGGCCGAGCAGAAGCGCCGAGATGCCATCAAGGTGAGGCCAGAGGCAGCAGATGCTGCTGGAGTGCTGCTCCAAGGCCGCTCCAGCATTCGGCTCTTCCAGCAGTTCCCTGTTTTGCTGCTGGATCTGCCCTCTCTGCATGGTGTGCTCTGATGGGCTGTGTGGTGGGAGCTGGGATGGATCCGTTCTCAAAAGATGAGCCCACATGCTGTGGCTCTGCTTCCCTGCAGAAAGGCTACGATGACCTGCAGGCCATTGTCCCCACCTGCGAGCAGCAGGATTTCTCCATCAGCTCACAGAAGCTGAGCAAGGCTATCATCCTCCAAAAGAGTGAGTCCCAAGGGTGGGAGGGAAGGAGGTGCTGTCAACCCCTAAACCTCCTCCCTAGAACTGTGCAGGGCAAAGTTCAGCACCTTAGAATCTTGTGTGATCTCTGGGAAACTYGGGTGCTGCTCACCTACCCCCACCYACCTTCCCCAGGGGAATTGGGTCAGTGGGAGGTGATGGTGCCCTGACTCAGATACATGCCGTGGGCATCTTGGGGACCTGTGTGTGCTTCCAAATCCTCACTCTGTGTTTTCATGCTCAGCCATCGACTACATCCAGTTCCTGCACAAGGAAAAGAAAAAGCAGGAGGAGGAAGTTTCTACCCTCAGGAAAGATGTGATGGCCTTGAAGATCATGAAAGTGTAAGGAAAGAGCTGTCGGGGTCATGCCCTCTTCTTGCTGTTGTTCCCTCCCATCCTTTCAGGGCTCTGCAGAGGTTCTCCATCCAGGGGCAGGCCTGGAGCTTGGAACCAGAAGCAGAAGCTGGGTGTGGGAATTTGGAGCTGGGAGCAGGAGCTGGGAATGGCAGCTTGGAGCCAATCGTGGAGGCCTCACTGCTGACCGAGTTGTGCTTGTTTCAGGAACTATGAGCAGATTGTGAAAGCTCATCAGGACAGCCCGAATGAGGGGAAGAACCAGGTCTCTGATGAGGTGAAGTTCAATGTTTTCCAAGGCATCATGGATTCCCTGTTCCAGTCCTTCAATGCCTCAATTTCCGTAACGAGTTTTCAGGAGCTCTCGGCGTGTGTCTTCAGCTGGATCGAGGAGCACTGCAAGCCCCAGGTGAATGCAGGGCTGCAGGGGGGCTGTGCCATGGCCAGGGGGGCAGAGGCAGTGGCACAGGGGTGGCTGTTCCCCCACAGACCAACTGATGGTATCCCCTCTCTGCTACAGACACTGCGGGACGTTGTCATCGGGGTCCTGCACCAGGTGAAGAACTGTGGGAGGCGAAAAAAGTCTTATGGAATGACTAAAGGGCCTTCACTCACTTTTGCTCAATGATGGTTGACAAAAAGCATTTTGGGAAATGTACAGTGGACATGTGGACAAGAACAAGAAGGATGGATGTGTAATTCAAGCTTCAAAGTGTGAAGCGYATGAACCGCAACACAGGAAGCGATAAGGATGTGGCAGGGGACCAGTGTGTATTTTTGGGATTTTGTTTAGTTAACAAGAACACTAACAAGAATATTTTTAGCACAGAATAAAAGGAAGAATGTTTTTAGGAAGAATGTTTTTAGCACAGTATAAAAAGCCTTKCATAGTTGTAATAAACATCTCTCTTTGCTGGAATCACTGGGAGTCTGTGCCTCATTCGCTACAAAGAGCCAGACTGTCCTTGCAGAGCTGATCCCAGAGCAGCTCCATCCTGTGCCCTCAGGCCTCTGACAGCCCCACTGGCCCCGGGGTGGGGAAATGTGACAAATGCATACTAAAAACGATGGGTTTCTGGTGTAGCAGTAGGAACTGGTTCTCCCGACCCACTGGGCTGTCCCCTCCCCCTCTGAAGCAGCTGTTTTGAGTCAGCTGTGGCATTTTGGGGGAGCCTGGCAGTGGTGGCAGCAGGGTAAGCCCATCAAGAGCTGGGAGGCTGAGGCAGCACATGCTAAGGCCTTGATGAACCCCAAGTGCTGCTGCAGCTGTGGGTCCCTGGGAAGGAACACAGGAATTTCCTGTGAGCACTAGAATAAATCTCCTTTTCAGAAACTTTTCAGAAAGTTCTGCAGCTGTAGCACAGCATGGTGGCCACATGCCCCTGCTGCTCTTCCTCAGAAGACACACATACCTGACCAGCCTCAATTTGATTTTTATTTTTGTAGATTTTGCAATGGTCCCAAAGCACTGCCTGTGCCAGCTATACAAGCAGCTGCTCTCAGGGACATGTTTGGCCCTGCTCCACACCCACTTTGGATCACAGGTCTGCCTCGGTGAGGGTTGGTCACTGCCTGAGTGATGGGACTGGGGTGCTGTCAGCAGCAGAATTTGTTCTCCATAACCCCGTTTGTGCTCCTGCTGCAGGGGCACATACAGKGAATGTTTATATCAGGCAGTTTTTCCAGTGCTGAGGAGGAAGCTCTGCCTCCTGCCTTGCAAAGAGGGCATGGAGTTTATTTATAGACCTCACATGTGAAAGTGATGTRTTTTTTCTGTTGTGAATAGTAATTACATTTCCGTGAATGTTTTAATGGTTTTTCTGATGCTGAGTTCCTGGAGCTGTGCCTTAGAGCTGGTAGTTTCTAGAAGCCCATTGCAGCCCCTGTGACTCARGTGACCCTCTCCTGRCCCCTGTCCTCCCCACCCCTGAGGRCCTAAACTCTGCCCTGACACCCTCTGAAGAGACAAACACCACAGGGATGTGCAGCTGAACCAAAATCCTGGTGTTTAATGGATCATATTCTCTTGTGTCCACTCAGGCACATGGCAGGAAGCAGCCAGAAAACAATACAGAGCTCTGCAGCCCAGTCGGTCCCTTGGTCCCTTTYCTTACTGGAACACCACAGACACAGCACCAGTGCCCCCACATCCCTTTTCTTACCAGAACACCAGGGGATACCAGTGCCCCCACCCATCCCCTCAGACCCCAGCCAGGCAGCTTCATGTACTGTGGGGCAGGAAAAAAAAAAMCATTCCATGGCAAGGAGAGAGCCAGCACCAAGTCACTCCCACCCACCACCCTTCCAACTGCACATTTTAATACAAGAACAAATAAATACACAGGACAAGCCCAAGTCCTGCAAAACAAAAAAAAAAAGAACAACCCAAGAGCCGAGTTCCAGAGGCAGCTCCACAGCAGCAGCTTCTCYCCAGAACACAGGCTCCCCCAGCACCTCACACAGCCGCCGGCAGCACAACGCCATGGTCCTCATCYGTCTCTATCCCAACCTCCTCCTGCATGGCACCGAGCGATCAGAATAGGCTTAAATTCTGGTTCAGCAGCCCTGGGCAGGGCCCAGCCTCGGTACTTACAAAAAACTGCTTCTTGCTCTTGGGGTAGCCCTCCAGGATGGCATCCAGCAGCTCGGTGGCCTGGTGACACAGGRCACGTGAGGGCTGTGGGCAGCTGTCCCAGCGGGGCTGTCACCACCCAGCCACACCMCAGCAGTACCATGCGCTTCCTCCGGCGCCACTCCCGGCGGTACAGCTGCTGCTCCCGGCACACCTGCCAACGGCACCAGGTCACAGCTGACCCACAGGGCTGCCACGAGCCCGGGGAAAGCAATGCCTCTAAGGGAAGTGCTGGATTCGGCAGTGACCCGGTCCAGACTAGCCCTGGGTTTGGACACAGCAGCTGTTCACCTTCTCTTTTTCCTCTGGAGTCACGTGGTTGGTAGCAGATTTAATCCTCTCGAGTTTCTCCGTGTAACTGGCACAGTCCTTCCTCAGTGCCTCGATCTCCTTGGCCATCTCAGGGGTTGTCATGGAGCTGTTCAAGTCCTTCAGTTCTGGGAAGGCGGCACTGATCACGGGCTGAGCTGCCAGCCGGCACCAGGGCACAGCTGCCCGTGCCSTCGGGGAGCCGCCGGTGCCGCGGGGCTGCCAGGCCGGGCACACTCACCCGCCTCCATGTGCCGGCAGCTCTGCTGCAGTGCTTGCAGCTGCGTGGAGCGAGTGGCAATTTCGCCGTCCAGCCCGCGGAGCTCCGCATCGCTGGCAGCCGGGAGCTGTTCCTGCGGGGAGCGGCGGGTCAGGGGTGCGGGGTAAACGGGCCAGCGGGCGGCGGCGGACGGGGCTCACCTGGGCAGCGAAGTAGATTTTCTGCTTCCCGTAGACCTTCTCGCGTACGCGGCCCTGCTGCGCCAGCTGCTCCAGCGCCTTCACCACGGCCTGCGGGACGCGGCGTCAGCCGGGCCCGGGCTCGCCCCGCCCCAGCCCGGCCCGGCCYTGCTCACCGCCTTGCCCAGCCCGTGCTCCCGCTGCAGGTTCCCGAAGGCATCCTGGGCGCTGTACGGCCGGTTCTGCTCCCGCAGGTACCGCAGCAGGACAGCGTTGGCGCCTCCTGCGGGACCAGCCCCGGTCACCGCGGCCTCTTGGGACCGCAAAGGCCGCCCGGTGCTCCCCCGCCACTCCAGCACTCACCGCCCGCCGCGGCCTCACGCCCTTTGCTCATCCCGGGCCTCCAACCCCGCTACGCTCCGCTCCGTTCCGTTCCGCTCCGTTCCGTTCCGTTCCGTTCCCGGTTCGCGCCGTTTGCGCACTTCCGACGCGCCGCCTGCTCTCCGCCAACCGGGGGGAAGGCAGGCGCGGGCTGTGATTGGCGGGAGCACAAGAGCCACGCCCCCAAGGCGGGGCCGAACGGACACCGCCCCCGCGGGAACCGGGCCCGAGCCCAGCCCGGGGCRCACCGGACTGGCGGGACTGCCCCGCGCCCCCGGGCACGCACTCACCGAACGGACCCGGAGCCAGGCCCAGACCCACACCCGGTGCTACCGCCGCGGGGTGAGAAACGCAGCACCCTCGCCGCCCATCCCCCACCTCTGCACCGGACGCGACCAGCGAATGAATTTCATTCATTCCATGAATAACCCGTTACCGACCACCCCTTCTCGGCTGAGGCCGCCCCCCCATCCCCGACCGTAGCCCCGGCACGGCCGACGCAGTCGGATAGTCAGACAAACAGCAGCCGGTAACAGGGTCCCTTGACGAGGTACGTTCTTGGTTGCACAAACGTGATCAGAACCGGGTCTATGGCTTAGGAAAAGAATGGGGGCGCTCGGTGGGCAGAGGGGGGTGGCTCGCCCTGGGGTCTGCTGGTTTGTTCACGGGACCGCGGTGGGGACGAGCTCCTCAGTCACCGGCGGTCTGGGCTGCTGTCCTGTTTCCACTGCTGGTCTCTGCCTGCACAAGGCTGGATGAAGCAAAGTGAGCCCAGGGGACACACCACGGCCCTGGCAGCCCTGCTCCATCTCCTCCTTCCTCCATGAAAACTGCCGGGGGGATGCGCAGCCTTGGCCCTGCCCACGGGAACACACTGGAGCAGCACAGGGGTTTCTAGCAAAGTGTTAGTTGGCTGTTAACAAAGGCTGTTAGTTCAGAAAAGCAACACAAGAGCAGGAGCTACACGTGGATGTTCTTGCAGGTGGTCTGATGGTCACAGCAGGTGTCTTATTGCCATTGAGCTCTTACAAAACAGCATCACGAGGAGCTGGAGCTGAGGGAGCAGCCAGTGCAAGGAAAACATTGCGGCTGCACAACATCCACAATGGAGCAAGGGGCTTGGTTCCACCTGGAGTTGGATATTGCTGGGAGAGAAGACTTGGATTTGTGCACATATTAGGAGTGGGGAACAGCTGTCTGAGACAGAACAGCATTGAGTCCCAGACACCACATCTGAGGGGCTCCGTCCTGTTCCCCTGGCTACACCTCAGTGCCAGAACTCAGTGCACAGTTGTCCCTGGCAATGCTGTTGATCCTACTGGACTTCAGAGCTGCAAACAACAGATTTATTGTCCTAGGTGAGAAAGTTTGGAGCAGGCAGCATCCTGTCAGYGCAGGGTGATTGTGGAGCAATCCCATCAATGCCTCTTCCCTACAGATTACCAGTGTCCTTTATTTTAAAATCCAAGCAAGGCTACAGAGTCACAAGTMACAGTGGTGTACCCAGCCAGGACTGGCTGTCACATCACTCAGACTCACAGGAGACGATTGAGACAACTGTGCAAGGCTTTTCCTTCTAGGATTCCCTCCATRATGCGCAATAGAAAACCAGAGGGAAGTGACAGGATGGCTTACTGGCCCCGGGAGCCAGTGGAATCCAACTGGTTCAGCTCGGACTGATCCAGCAGTTCAAAGTCATCCCCTTCAGCATCAGTGTCCAAGTCCAAACTGGCTGCTCTGAGGTGAGTCTTTGCCCCTCTCTGGGGATTGGTGCTGCGTGAAGAGCCTGGCTGAGTGGCTCCYGACAGTGCCAGCTGGATCATGCCCCTGGTGACAAAGCCAGTTATGTTGTTGGTGAGATTCTGCACTGATGGCAGTGTGCCAAATTCCTCCTGCTCRTATGGGAGCTGCAGATCCTCTGTCCCTTGTGAGCGGTACGCCAGGCTSGGGATCCCAATGCTGGTGTCATCTTCGTCATCTATGCCTGTTGCTTCTGGGTTTATGGAAGGGAAGTCAGGCAGATCCCTGGCAAAAGATTCTTCTGGGTCACTGTGACCATCCAGGTCTGGAAGAGGAGAAAGTGCTTTAACTGCCAGCACCCACAGGCCCAGGCAGGAGCTGGGCCAGCACCTCCCATATGGGCAGACTGTCAGGAGCTCACTCTCTTCAACCTCTCTCTCCCCACATCCCAACTGTTCAGATACCACTGACCTCCCAGCTCACTCGCAAGGAAAACCAGTGCCAAACCAGCCACCTGCTAGAGGGGAGCACTTGCACCCACAGACTGGCAGAGTGCTGCTGTCATTCCACTCAAGCACCACAGGAATGAAGGAGGAAGCTTTAGTTCTGAACAAAACAGCTCATCTCCAGCAGCAAGGCTGACATAAAACAGCCTGACTTCCATGACAGGAGGTAACACATCCTCCCTCCAACCTATCACACTGGTGCCTGCTTGGCATTTCACACCTTCYAGAAGCTTCCTGTTTCCTCTCACCTTCTGATCCCTCTGTCAGGGGAGTCTGACCCCTTGAAAGGTTAAACATCCCATTTTCAGTATAGGAAACCTCAGCATCTGAATGCTCTGAGTCAGAGATGGTCAGTTCTTTGGCGACCACGGAGTCATCCAGCTTTGAAATAAAAGATAAAATTGAAAACATCAGTACTAGAAAGCTCATCCCTGTGCCTCAAGACAAAAAAGATGATCCAGGGCCTCCAGGTAAACCTGGCCTTCATGGGAGACTGGTGTCTGAGGCTGATTCACATTTACTGCACAGCCCAGGAGACTGCAGGTTGCATGAGCAGCTCTGGACATCCTTTAGTGGGACAGAATGGGAAATACCTATCTGAGAGRAGAGTGTCCTCATCTGCTCTCCCATAACTCTCAGCTACAGTGTGCTGACACGCAGCCAAATGCTGCATGACCCCACAGTGAGGTTTGTTCTTTCCAGCTGAGCTCTTCCCWCTCCCAGATGCTCCATTACCTTGGGGCAGAATGCAGCCAGCTCCTCTTCACTGTCACTCCCATCGTCCATGGACTCCTGACCAAGGGCCCGGCCACGCACTGTTAGAAACCAGACACAAAGCTGTTACTGCTGCTGTGACAGAGCTCTGTGCAGGGCCAGAAAACCCAAACTGGGCATAACAGAGCACAGCCAGCTCTGTCCCTCAGCAGAGCTGTGATCATTTCAGACTGTGTCTGTGGCAGGTTTTTTACGGAGATGAATGTGTTTAGACCTCCCTTGCACAGTGCCTTTCCTCCTTTTTCAGTAACAGAGAACACACAGTTCTGGCAGAACTGGAGCAGCTCAGTGCTGTGAAAAGCCCACGGCAGCTGCTTCGTAGGAGATGGCTGCAGAGGCAGAGCAGCCTCTCACTCTTCCCAAGGCAGTTCCAAGAATTTGCCATGCCAGACATGCAATTCTACAMCCACCAAGGCTGGAGCCTCTGTTCACAGCCTATTTCAGGTACCAAAGATCAAGATCTGAAACCTTGGGGCTGGAAGCAGCACAGAACTCACGTTGCCTCTCGCGCTGCCTGGCTATCATGTATCCCCGGACGCTGAAATCCAGCCGCTGCAGCGCCGGCTCCAGCCGCAGGTACATGCGCTGGCCCAGCCTGTGGTACACGGCGAGGGGCCACAGCAGGACGAAGAGCACTGCAGTGAGTGGGAATGTGGGTTAGAAGGTTGTTCAGGATGCTGCTTGGCAAACATCCTGCCCGTTTCACAATGCAGCACAACACATGGAGCATGGCAGATCTGAGCACTGACGGCAGTGCTGTGGGAGGCTGTTAGAAGTGATGCCACCACCTCTGCCAATTTAATAAAATTGAGAGGCCAACCTGTTAGTGCTCAGATCTGTGGTTACTTAGCACTCAAACATGTTCTTTCCAGACCAGACTGGAGTCTTGGTCAAGAACCACCACATTCCTGGCAGAATGTATTATTTTAAATTTTAAAGCCATTCACACAAGCTTTCCTTTTGAGGAGAGGAGCCCCCTTCCTCAGACATTCAACACTCACTCGTGGCTTTCCACATGTAAATCTGTATTGGCACAGAGATTTACTTACATAGCATGTATGAGAGCAAGAGCCCAGGGATATACTGGCCCAGGACAGCCAGGAAAGTGAACACTCCACACACTAGAAGGCAAAACTGAAGACATGGAAGACAGTGAGTTTCCAGGGTTAAGAAGCAGGTTCACTCATTTCTTGACCGCCTGTCTGCAAATTTTGTAGAGTGAAGCCTTCAGAGTGTCCAACCACCTGCTTCAGTGTGGCCACAGACACAGGGATGTTTGCTCTCAGACCACAGACAGCTGAGGCCTCCTGCCTCACGGAAAGAGGAGCTTCCCAAAGCAGCRACACCAAAAGCAAGGAAGAGGTTAAACAAAAGAGCTCTTCAAGGTGAAGAGGACAAGGACAGTATCACTATGCTACAGGTTACTCTTTCCACAAACTCAAAAAAATCAGAAAGAAAAAGCTTGACATACTTTTTCAAACTTTTAAAACCCAGTGAGGAGACGAGTCTGACAGACACTTGAAAAGCCTCCTCCTACAGAAGGAGCAGCCATGCTCTCAWTTCAGTGGKGCAATCCACACAATGACATTCACTTTCTCCTCCCTCCTCCACAACCTGATTATTCTGCCTGTGCTTTCCATKCTTCCCCACCAYCTAAYAGGCACAATCTTGTGGGAGACCTCYCATGRCAACCTCCCATCCAGGAACRTGTTCRGCCAGTGCTGGATGCCAGCACAGGAGGATCCTTGTGGTCAGCAGAGGCTCCACACCAAACAGGTTATTTCTGAAGTCTGTACATTCTTACCTTGCCAGGATTTTGCCTCTTGAAAACGAAGAGATTACTTAAGAAGTTGGTGCCAGTCACCCATCCTTCAGCCAAATGATGACAGAGCTCTGGCACTCCGAGCAGCCGAGGGTGRACATATCCCCAACTGCAGTGAAGGCAGAATTTGGGAACAGATATTGCTGCATCAGTGTCAGTGTTGAAGTCCCCTGTTACAAATAATTCCTTCTGTTCCCACCCAGCATGGAACTCTATAGAGATGAAGGACACCTGCCCTCCAAGCAGAGCCCTGCCCAAAGCAGTTCATCTACAGCCCCTCTAGCAGCATTCCAGTGCTCCCACAGCAGCTGAGGAGCAAGAATTTCAGTCAGCAGCCTCAACTAATTTCCATGCTGCTGGAGGGAGTGCGTCGTGCAGAGGCAAATGAAGTGAATCYGTTTATTTATTCTGTGTTTATCTGGTCAACTGCAGCCTCCAAGTGTTCAGCATGAGGTCTAGAAGCAGCCTTGTACCTCGCTTCATACTCAGTTACTCTGGAGGCCTTGAACTGGTCAGTTTTGTTAGTGCTGCTTAACTGCTAGTCACGAGTACCTGAAGGTTAGAAAGAGCAATTCCTTTCGTGCTTGGGCCTCTTAAAAAAAAAAAAAAAAAAGAATAAAGACAATTGTCCTTTGGCACCAGCTCAGGTGATTTAATCCAGCACAGCCTGGCAGTGGCAGCAGGAAGGTGTGTCCAGAGAGGCAAGTGTTTGAGGTGTTGCCTCACTGCTCACATTTCTCAACC